TTAAAAAAGAGAGGATTCAAACAGACACAAATATTTAATTATTCGTATTTTGGCCTCCCATATATTATCTTTGAAGAGAGAACAAATATTTAATTTTTAGCCAGGAAAAATCCCTGGATCCGCCACTGTTAACATACGGAAGATTTACAAGTTACAAGTATATTGACCGATATGTTACCCATTGTGTAATGAATTTGAAATTCGATGTAATTATTAACAAAGTCAAATTTTTTAAATAAGATGTCAATATAAATTAGATGATATTATAAAAAATATTTTACATTAGAATAATAATTGTTCTGTTATCTTTTAAGGTAATTTCTAAAATTTGGTTATTTTATAATTAAGTTAAAAAAATTATAACCGTTGATTCACCTTTGTATGATTGTGATATTTCCACATAATCATTTTTTTATATGAGAGAATTTATTTTCATTAACATTAAACTCTTAGTCTTATGAGGAATTTATTTAAAAAAAAAATAACTGATAAATATTTAACAATTCAGTATAATTTTTTTTATATATAACTATTTACTTAAACAAGTACCAAAATAATGCTTTTAATAAGAGACTTACACATTTTATGGTGACAGCATCTGTCTTGTGTCTATATTAATACCCATACCCAGAGGTGTTTGATAAAAGAGAATTTTTTTTTACCAAAAAAAAATAATTTTTGAGAATATGATGGAAATTTTTTTTCCTGAAAATGTTAAGTTAATTTTACTGATATTGTATGTTAATTTTTTCATTGTATGGGAAAAAAAAATTCTACCTCATCAATGGTAATCTTCCATAACCATTTTATATGGAAAAACAAATGATAGAAAAAAAAAATTTCCCAACCATACTTTTATTTCACCTCTTACTAAATATAGTCAAATAATTTTCTCCACTCAATTTTTCTAGGAAATTTTTTTTCACATCCTATCAAACACCCCTTAAAGTAACGAAAATGATAAATCTTAAAAACTTTATGGGAAACACTGATAAAAAGGTCAAATACTCAGTTCTCTTACCTCCTTAATTTTAATTTTTCTGGAGTGTATCAACTTACAGATGTATCATTTAACATTTAAATATTTTTCATTAATTATTACAATTACTTCCACTCAATTTTTACCTTGTATTCTGTTTAGGTTACTTACCCATATTATCATTTTTTTTTATCATTGAGATTCGTACAGTTTTTTTGTTTGAAAACTTTTTTTAATCCCCCATCCCCAACTGATTTCATAGATTCTTTATGGACTAATCCAAAGTTCGGAGCGGGTCCAGAATTAAAATTTTAAATTCCTCCCAAAAATAATACTAGGAAAAATTGAACATATGCTCTCATCTCAACATACTCCACTCCTATTGAAAAATATTTTCTTACAAGTAGCAATAGGTAATTCTTTAATGAGTTTGTTTTTTCTGATGTTACTTTAGATAACTTTATCTAATGTTCATCAAAACAACGTCGTTTTGGGACGGAAATCATGGTATTTTTGTAATTTTAATTTATTTCAGGGTTATAATAGTCTTTATCACTCTAATTTTTTAATTTTTCAACCCCAAAACGACGTCGTTTCGATGAACATTAGATAAAGTTATTTAAAATAACATCGAAAACTTTTTTCCCTTCTTTAATACGAGCAAACTTTTGATACAACGAATGTACCTACATCCAGACTAAATAAGGAAAGTTTTTGGAACATGAACAAAAATATAAAAAAAAGGATTAAGATAAAAACAAATTACTCATTTTAATAAATGGGTATACCAAATTCGATATACCCCTAGCATTAGAAATTAACTCGGTACATTCGTAGTATTTAAAAAAAAATTCCCTTTAATACATACAAAAAAAAATTACGTCTAATTTCCTGTGATAATATTTGTCAATGTGTCCCAAATTGTACTAACGTTTATGCTTTTTCAGTGAAACAATTTTCTGATGCATTGTGAAATGCCTTAAAATATATATTTTGAAGTGTACTAGACTAGACCATTGGAAGCTGTAGAGATTACAATGTGTAAGAATACAAAGAAAAGAAACAAAATAATGAAGGAGTGGCTGAGAAATTGTTAAATAAAATAATTCTCTGTTTTGCAAATTATATATTTTGTTTTGGCGCCGCAAATCTAACTAGTGGTTGAGAAATCATAAAAAATTTATGGGAATTACTTTTTTTATGTTACATAAAAAAGTTATTATCTCCTACACTCACATTTTTTAAATGGATTCTACAAGATTTTTTTCTCTCACCTTAAATTTTTTTTTTTCTCCTAACTATTGTTTGAGTATTAGATATTATTTCTCTTATGTAACATAAGAGAGAAGTATTACCCAAAGTTTATAGGTATCTTGTCTCTAAATTGTACTTCTTATAGAAAGTTACATTTTAAGGTGGCTTTTTCAAAGGCTGAGTCACGACTCTATAGATAACCCAAAACCTGCAAAGTCATTCATGCTACAAATCACTTATTACAAATGGCACCAAAAGATTGATTGAAAAAAAAAAAAAATGGTGGAATAATGGCACATTGCATATGTTGTCTCATAGTTGGGAGAATTTTTTACCAAGAAAAGTTGGCTGTTCTTGGCCTTGGAAGAAGCCAAAAATAGCAATGCAATAAAGAACAACACACGGGGATAGATAAATATAACCAGAAACACGTAATGAACAATGATAGGATCTAAAAGTGTCGTGCTCAAAATAGTCAACACTGGCGGAGTAGAAGAGTAAAAAAATTTGGATTCAGTTCCTTCAAATACATTTTTGGTAAGATTTGAGTAAATATTTTTTTGGGTCCTCAATAAAAAAAATGGGATCCATATTAATTTTTTTTTTAAAAAGGACAACTTGTGATTCTTCTTAAATTCTAGTTTTTGAAAGTGTGATCCTCAAAAATTCAAAAATGATTTACATTAGTTCTTCAAAAAGAACTAATATAGATACTTTTTTTTCTAAAGAATTAAAATGGATTCCGTATTTTTTTGTTAAAGACCCCAAAAGCATATTTACTCAAATTTTATCTATGCATAAGCGCCTCAACTTGGAATTAGTATCTCAGTCGACTCAAAGAATTAAAATTTGTGGAGATATTTAGAGAGTCGGTTTGTCTCAAAGAAATAACTATGTTGATATAAAAAAAATTAAATTACTTAATGATGGGTATGCATATACTAAAATACATGTCAAAGGTTACATTTTTCCACAGCCGAGCATGTGTAGCAGAGTTTTTTATTGGTCATATTCAAGAAATATATAACTTAATCTTTTGAGACTTTGTGAATCAATACACTTAGTAACTATTCAGCATTATACTTTATTATATAAAGCTACACCTAGTTGCTTCACACAAGGTTATCGCAATCCATTCCATTTTTTTATCCCTCTTGAATATATTATGTCGCGTGATATAATAGTCTAAGGACAAACACACACTCTTTCTTCATAACATGAGTCATAATATATTTAAATCGTTGAAGTTCAGAAGTTATACATGAGACAGAGAATGCTTGCGAATAAAGACATGTTATAGACTTATCTTATCATGTAGTTCAAAAATATCTGGTTTACTACATCAAATTATGTATAATTTCTTATATTGTTGCCTTGCCCACGATTTTCTTGGTTCTGACCGTAAACTGTTAAATTATCTAAGGCAGTTGAAACATCATGCTGTCTATATAACTTCCAAAACTGATCTTATTAGTTAAATAGAGTACAAGAGTTTGAAACAATAAATGGAAGGTAAAAGGAAGAAGAAAATATTGGTAGAGAGAATTTGCTGCCCTTGTGATTCTATCTAACTTGACTAAATTAATCAATTAATCGATGAACTGATGAAGAACGTATCAACACAACATTCTTATCACTTTTGGACATATCTTTGTGTCTTGAATTGTATAAACTAATTTAACACAGGAATCTCTCCGTAAGCATCTCCTAGAGTTGAGATATATGCTGGTTCATTGGTGGTGGGGAGCTTTTCATTAAATGCAATAATATGCATGTTAGCAACCTAATGCAAGTTAGAAAACGTGTGGTTCAGACCAATAAAGTTAAGCAATAAGCCAAAAGACAAACGTGTAAACTCAGCACCATTTGTATGTAATAAAATCGAAAATCATATTTCGGAAAATGGATGATTAAAGTAAACTATGACGTGATAGGTCACTAACTAGTAATCAAACTCGCCAAGGACAAAAATAGGAAGAAACTGTACAGACAAAAGTAAAACTGACAGATAGTGTAGGTAAAAATGGAAAACAGCAAAAAATATTAGGTGTATCGCTTTTTTATTGTCCACAAGACAACATACACTCAAAAAGGAAAATCTTTTGTATAGAAAGTGACACATTTGACTAAAGTTATTGCTGATAATAGCGTCCTCAATTTAAACAAGGGAAAAGTTCACCAATACCAATGTGGTTTACTTCAGAATCACTTATGCTCCTGTGATTTTTTTCTTATCACATATGCCATTGTGATTTGTAAAAGAGTATGTTTTTTATCACATATACCCCTTTGGTTTCTTATTTTTTACAAAGCACAGGGGCATATGCGATAGGAAAAAAACCACAGGGACATAAGTGATTATGAAGCAAACCACAGGGACATTAGTGAACTTTTCCTTTAAACAATCATCGCGTCGTATGGATAAAAAAGTTATGAAACGCACCCGTGAGTATCACCGTGAACAGTGATCTTGAAAGGAGCAAGGAATGAAAAACTTCAAAAGATTAATGCATGGAGACGAAGCTTTCAAATATAAAATAGAAATTGCAAATCTGGAAGACAAGTAACAAGCCCAAGCACATGCTAATTACTGATATAAACATCGAATTTGTTTGGGATTCTTCACCTAGGGAAAGGTCATAGAAAGTTGCCCAAAGCATGCCGCATGAAAGTAACACAAACATGCGGATTTATCAAGCAAAGAACAGTGTTTAAGAGGGGAAATATAATACCAGTTTCCAAATAGTTAAGCAGCATTTTTGGTCACCTAATAATCATAATTTCCACAATATTTTACGCCTGATATATGGATAACAGTTGGTACTTGTGTCTTTGCAATTTTCATAATTGACATTATGAAAAGGGATGCTATACAAGATGTACAGAATACAAACTTGCCTACCATATTTTACAATTATAGTCTGCACAATATTCTGAGGGGTTAGAAAATGTAAACGGTAATATTTTTGTCCAAAGCATTCATGGTCACCACATTCCAGTGTTTTAGGCATCCACCTGCAGATCACCCGCTTGCCCCCATCACTGCCTCACCTTCTCTATCTGCTCAGCTTTGGTGTCAGGATCGGGTATAGCAATCAATCAGCTAAGATCAGGGAAACATCCCTTCAAGAAACTCATCTAAGTTATCATCATCATCATCATCATCATCAATTATATGATCACTGGCTGAAATCAAAGCCTTTTTCCCTGTAAATACATGTTAAAGAAAGTTTATGCTTATATCAGACAATTAAATGTTGGGACAGAGGATTTCTAGAGAAGAAAAAGGATTTCCAATCATTTGAATAAACTACAAAGAAGCAAGTCGAGCAGGCAAAGTGTGCTGGCATCATCATGCTTAAAAGATGAACCCAAAATTTCACCTTGCAAATCAAAGAGTACAAAAATATGTTTAAATTTGATCCATTACTACAGTGTAAAATTTTTATGCTAATGGTAAACAAGGAGTCACATCATTGTAGTAACTATTACGTAAGCTTTCTTATTAACAGTAAAGGCCTTTTATAGTTTTCTAACCAAGCTGCTCTTCGGACCTATATCTTTTTTTTTTTTTTTTTGGTACATTATCTGGACCTATATCTTAAGTAACAAAAGAATTGATGATGACACGTTGACAACCTTCACGAAAGAGGCAAAGCCAATAACCAAAGATAAATCAAATACGCTTCTATAAGTAAAAGCTACAATAACCTCAGATCCACGCACATTTTGAAGGCTTTTCAGTCATCTCTAAAACATCATACAGTGTACAAATTATTGTTACACAGAGTCAATCTCAACAAACAATTTCACTATTTAAGAAAATAACCTGAATTGATTAATCATTCTAAAGCCAGGCCCTCCTACTAAAATATATGACATGCACTGTCAAGCCATCGTTGAATGAATTAATTACTGTATTATTAAGCACAAAAATTGGTGTTTTTTTCAACATCAGCTTTTTTTTATTTGTTCCAGAAAAAATGTTAAATTGCTAAAATAACCAGGTCTATCGTGCAACATAAACAAATGCTAAACTGAAAATACAGAGATTATCAAGTCATGATGTAAGAATGGCCATCCACTTGTAAAAATAGAGCAGCTTCAAACCTTTCTTCCTTCTCTCCTTGCTTTCTTGGAACTCATCCAGATCATCGTCGCTCTTTGAACGACTCCTAAAATTTAAAGGACTCAATCTCCATATTTTCTAGTCAATAAGAAGTGAAAAAACACGAAAGGGTTTGTGGGAGCAATGTTCTCACCTCTTTCTTCCATCTTGTTCTTGTAGTCTCTTTTCTAATTGCTCCTTCTCTTTCTTCCTCTTGTAGTTAAGTTTCTGTGCACATCTATTCAAAAATAACTGAGAAAAAAAATGAAACAGAAATTTGATTTGCCACACAACAGTCAATAAATAATAGTTGACACAAAACCCTTATTGCCTTAAAATGAGAAACTTTCACCCAAAGTCCCAAAGAGACAGAAAATTTTCCTCAATTTTAAAAAAGGATTCTACAAAATTACCTTCCAATGAATATGTCAAAAGTAGGTAATCTTCAAATTTACATCCAAAATGTCAGTGTAAGATTGGGATTTGTAGCAAAATTCAAAATTTTGAAGAAAATTACTTTTGCAAGAATTGCTTTTGGAAGAATCAGTTTTATGCTTGGGAATGTTATCAAGAAGTGCCTGAGTGAAATTGCTTTTTGTTCAGGTATTGTTGTAGAAACAACTTTCTGGTATCAATTTACAAATTTGTTAATATTTACGAGACAATTACATCATTGAACTTAGAAACCAGTTTTGTTAAATACAGGCAATCTTACATTGATTCTGTATCAGATCCCATAAAATTGCACTAGCACAGTTGCATTGATGTTTGAAGGTAATTTTAAAAGCCAGAGAGAGATTAAGAAAAACTTTCAATGGAATCTCAAACAACCAATCACTTCGAAAGGTACTCAATCATGAACAAAACATAATTTTCATAAAACAAAAGAACAGCAGACAGATTAACAATAATTCTTTTTCAAAGGGCCATTTATACTGACATTTCCCGAGTGATGCAGTTGACGTCTCACGCAATTATCAAAACAGGATTCAAAAAAAGTAACAAACTTGGACTATTTGCATGGGCATAGAAAAGCAAATCCCTTGAAGTAAATGTGTTTAAAATTCAAAAACATGACAGTGTATAGCAATAACCAGAAGGCGAGCAAGCATTTAACAGATATGATTAGGAAGCATCGTTCTAAAGTTTATTTGTAGAATGCCAACTTAAAAGCTACATGTGAATTTTCATTACGTATGAAAACAATGGCATAAGCAACAAAACAAGCATAGTCTCACATTGACTCACCTCTCACAAGTTACCAATTTAACTAGGGCTTGTTTGTTTTCTCCAGCTTCAAAGTAACAAAAGTTCACCTGTAATATGAAGCAAATGGTATAAAGGAGTGAAAACATCTAATGAATTATACACAAATGACATCTCCTCACCCCTCTAGCAGAGCCGAAGCTGCTGATAGAATGATCAATAAAGAATAGTGTTCCAAGAGAAACATATGCTGAAAAACCATGTGTCTCGACTACACTATGGAGTCAATATATAATGAATATAATACACACAAAGATACACTTTTCCTAATTACTACATTTACATGATGTGTGTGGTTATAACTTATACGAGGATGGATAAAATGAGAAATGAAGATATTCGACGAAAGGTAGGAGTACTACCGGTGGCTGAAAAGATGAGAGAACATAGATTGAGGTGGTTTGGGCACATAATGAGAAGGCCCCTGGATGCTCCCGTAAGAACAAAAGTTTGTTACCAAGAGCGAAGCACAAAGAAAGGTAGAGGTAGACCGAAACTTACTTGGGGAAAGGTAGTAAAGCAAGACTTAATGGATTGGGATATAGATTGGTGGACGGTGTGCCTTAGAACAAAATGGAGAAAAGCTATAAGCATGGTGGAAAGTTAGATCCGTTGTTATTCCTATATTCCAGATGGTCCCTTTTTAGTCCTTTTTCCTCTTCATCTCCCCCCTCTTCTTCTTTTCCCCTTCTTTTATCACTTTTATATATATATATATATATATGTATATATATATATATATATTATTTTATTTATTTATTTTTATTTTTTATCTTTTTTCAACCTTTTCGTATCTTTTATTTGGGTTCATCTACCACCGACCCCAATTAATTTGGGATAAAAGTGTTGTTGATGTTGATGTTGACTATATTTACATGATGACACAATGAACCTAGACACTTGCACTGAAACTAAACATAATGATACACATTTCTAACAAGGAGCACAACGCATTCCTTCTTAATGGTTTTTCCTAATGTGTCTTCTGTCTTGTCCTCCCCCATTTGGACTATCTTGATTTCATCGCCCTCTCTGGCAGACTAGTGAAATCAATTGATTAATGGTAATAGGAAGAAAAACGTACCTCATAGCTTGCTAATCCATCTTTCTCATTGCAATGCTTGTTACCACATATGAACTGGCCTGCAAAGTTATTTAACCAATTCATTTTAAAATTGAGCAGGATTCTAAACTAAAGAACAAATTAAAGACAATTACTTCTACAGAATGGGACAAGCAAATGAACAAATATTGAACTCTAGTTTGTGTAAGCATGATTTACTACAGTAAAAGTCTATATGACTTGCCAGAGTTATGTTTAAAATGTTTGTACACAAAAATGTTTATGAAGAAGTTTGAAAACTGGAATTAAAATATTTTCGGGTATCATAAGAGATTCTGATGACCCATTTACTGAAGCATATGCAACAAGAAAAGGGATGGGAAGTAGAAGGACAATACACAAGGCTGAGGACAGAATAGAAAATAAAGGGAATATTCTTGTTAAGTGTTGACCATAAGTGATTGTTGAGCTAGCAAGGAGTAGCGGAAGGTTGGAATTCAGTTAAGGAAAAATGAGAATATTAGAAAGAAGGATGCATAGTGCAAGGTAGGCATGAATTAAGCTAAAAGGTTAGGAAGGGGGAAGAGGTTCTAAGTTGGCAGATATATAGAATTTTTTTTGTTTTTCTGCAATTTTCTATTTCTGAATCCCTGTAAGGAGCTGTTCTCCATTGATCTTCAGTAATACAAATTTCAGTTCCATCAGATTCAAAGAGAGTCTTACTCTCCACACAAATTAGAATTGAAAGAGGCTCTTTCTTTGGAACAAGAGGATAGGAGATCAAGATTGAGGAATGACTATGAAGTGCTGTTTTGAACTCCGAGAATCAATTTCTTTCTGCCTATGAGAATTTGGCTGGTTGTCAGGTTCTGAAATGGCCTCTTACTTGGGAGTCATTTTAGATCATAATCCTAAATGTTCTTTTTGGGATTTGCCCTTATCCAATTCCAAACCTGTTTGGTTAATATTCCTATCTACTATCTCTGATTTTTTTAATACCGTGAAAGTGGAGGGATTTCTTTCATCAGGTGTGAGCATAGAGAGAAGAGATCATCTTGTTAGTTATGACTTAGGAGATCCGTTGTCGGGCTAAGAATGAAGGGGGATTAAGGCATGGAAATTCAGTGTCTAAAAACATGTTTCTTCTTCCCCTAGTTGTACTTCTTTTTTTTTTTTGAAATTTCTTCTATAAAAAAGACAAAAAAACAAAGTGGGGACTGGGGAGTAAAGGCCTACAAATCCACAAAAAGTAATATCCTAAATAGAGGATCCTTTTAAAACCAACAAATTCTAAGTTTTCAATTTTTTTATTTAACTAAAAAGGTGTGCATATTTCTACTAAACAGATCAGTAAGAGAATATTTGGATATTCAAAAGATTAGTTGATCAAATGATTAAAATTCTATTGCAAGTACAAAGTAGGTGAAACTCGATTAACCTTTAATAAATCAGACATTAATTTTAATGAATGAGTTCCTTTGCATAACACTTGAAAGTAGCCTACAGAAAGAACACAAACTAGAGAGCACTTATTTTCTGAAATAGTTCTAGTGAGACGCCAGAAGGGAGTAATGGGATAAAAGTAAAACTAGGCAGTGAAAGAATAACCAATACCCTTGCCAGATATGACTTCCTTCTCTGTCCTCCATCTGAGACCAATCTACAAAGAAAATGCAATCTATCACCGTAAGATCTTTAAACATGTACTTTACATAAAATGAGCTTTTAGACTTAATAAAAACCCTCTTTTACCAACATCCAATGAAAATGAAGATAAAACCCCTTCTATCTTCAAATGAATTTCAAATAGTTTACACTTTACAATACAATAATACTAATCAACTGCTGTTATCTTTAAGAAAAGGATATTAAAAACAAATATTACAATGCTTTTTAACCAGGAGTTGAACAATGGAAATATTCACACCAAGATTTTAGTTTAGCCTGCAAGACATAATAAGCTAAGATAGACCAATGCAGGAACCTTTACAGGTCCTACACATCTAGTACCACCCACCTCCTTGCTTAGGCAGAAAGGTGGAGGAACAGGTTATGAATTACTACCCATAGGTGCCAGTGTGATTCACCAAAACTAGAACAAAAATACCCATTATTTTGATTGTCCAAAGAGATAGGGTAAGCATGAATTATGCCCTTAATAGATTGAGTCCTACAGTACATTTTGTTTGCTTCAGCTGGATGTATACAGAATGACTCGATTGAGGGCAATATAATCTCTCAGGAAGTAAACCGATAGAAAAAATTTGTCAAGGGCTCAACTGATACTGACCCTATCTCCTGAAGACCAATACAGGGTTTTAGTCATAAATTAAGCATAAAAGGTTGCAATATTTAGCAGTATAGCATAAATACATTCCATAACTAACAAGTAATTACCTTACCACTCTTGTACTGTGACATGTCAGCAAGGCAGTATCTTAAAAGGATTTAAGGTAACAAGCAGACAAGGACAGTTAAATTCAATAACAGTAAAATTAGTTGGTCTCAAACCATAATAAATCACATAAAGAACACTCTTTCTTTTCCAAAAACAAACCTGTGCACAACAAACTCAAGGCAAGGCCACAACTACTTTAATGGTCAATGTGAACAAATTAAACAAGATTCGTCAAATATACATTTATAAACCCCTGGTGTATGAGGTTGTGTTGCTCTATGGGATGAGCCAAATGAGTTCACGCTGAATACGATAACACATGATAGTACTGGAAGGACAGCTCACAGAAGTAATGACAGCATCTAGTATCTACCTAGTCTTAGTTTCCATTAGCAAAGAGATTACAGGTTTACTTCAACTCTTAAAAAAAGGGAAATTAACCCAATAATAATTTTTTATATGCTTTCATATAAGATATTTTAGATATAATGCATTATAAATTAGCTCTTACACATGCATTGTTCACATTCGTTCCACCAACTAATTTAACCAAGTTTATAATTAAATCTCAATGCCAATATTACATAATTTTAAAAAAATTACCTATAAATAATTTTAGTTAAAAAAATGAATATGTTTGCAAAGGATACTCCTTAAAAAGCTTATCATAATAACGCTTCACCAGCCTTTGTTCCCATGATGGATTCATATCATCTTCCTCTGAACGTATGAATCTAGCAATACATTTGGATTAACAACATTAACACTCTGACACAGAAAAAGTAAAGTTGAGAGAAGAGATGATAAGGGAGGAAGGCAAAATGTTTTTCCCAACAATAAAAAGATATTCATAATGGAAGCTCCGAAAGGATCTTAAGTAGGGTGGAAAAAGTACTCATATTCACAATAGTTTCAATAGAGTTGCACAAGCAGCAAATGATAGAAGCCCATAATTACTATGAAAGTTTTGCAGAATGAACGAAAACATATTATGATATCATAAGAAAACCTTAAAAAGCTACAAGTGGTGGCCACTACAAAAGGCAATAGAGAGTTAGGAAAATAAATAAAATTTAAAAGGAAAAAAAAAAAAAGGAGGGAAGGCTTATTTCCTTATGTTAAAGCAGATGAGACAAAGCTCCAGCAATATTATGAAAGAAATTCCTACCTGATTCAGTTTATATAAGGCAAGATAACAAACTTACCTGTATCCTTCTCTTAGTGTATCTTGATCTGTTTTAATAGGCAACTTTAAGTTTGAAGGTTTTTCTTTCCCATAGAAACTAACTGCAGGAACAGAAAATAAATCTTAGAAGTGTTTCTGGTTGAAAATAATACAGTTAAACTGAAAAAAAAAAATATTAAGCTCGAATTTCATGGATAGCAGATTTGCAGTTAACTAACAATAAAAACTTCCATCAGAACAACAATGGCAACAGCAACAGAAGCATTTTCTCTCTAGGTGGAGTCTACTACATGGACAAAACTACGCCATTGTAGTCTGCCAAAAACTACCGACGGAAAATAAAAACAAAAGAAAGATGCCACCATCAGGCCATAACAATTCAAATTAAGCCTCCCATTTGGCGGTTACAAACCCATTAACAAATTGTGATCAGTGATCATCACTAAGTCAAGGAAGACAGAAGAAGAATACAACCAAACTTGTCTCTAGAGCCTAGACCATCTTCTTTCTTGAATTGGAACTAGCAAACAGCAGAAAAAATCACTGGTGCAGTTACTAACAAGGAACAGTGACCACTTTGCCACGTTTGGACAAAAAAATTACCAGACTGCCACGCCAACAGTAAATTTTGCCAAAATGCCACGCGGCATAATTCACTACACATACACAGTGTAGCGAAATATGCCACGTCAGAACCAAAAATGTCACATGTCAAATTTTGAGATATTCGCTACCCTATGTAGCAAATTTCTCAAAATTTGACATGTGGCATTTTTTGTTCTGTACATTCTGACGTGGCATATTTCGCTACACTGTGTAGCGAATTACTTGCATGCATAATTCGCTACACTGGGTAGCGAATTATGCCGCGTGGCATTTTGGCAAAATTTACTGTTAGCGTGGCAGTCTGGTAATGTTTTTGTCCACTCGTGGCACTTTGGTCACTGTCCCTACTAACAAGGGGTATTGGAATTTGAGGATGACTGTAGCCTCCTTCCTTCTAAGTGGAGGAGACTGTTCATCATCCTTTTGCTGTAGGACAATTAGGACACAACCAAATCAAGCTCTCGAAATTTGATTAATTCCCAAATGTCCATTCCCAAACAAAATCACAACCAAAACAACTAGAAGTGTGCAAAATAACCAAAAAACTGAACTGAACCATAAACCGAACTGCCCTTAAAATAACCGGTTTTTTAAAATTAGTTCATGAAACGAACCGGTTTTTAAAGAACCAGTTCATGAACCGAACCATTTTGAACCGAACCGTTTCCGAACCGAACCGTTTTCAAACCGAACCAAATTGATTTTTATAACTTTATTTTTTAAATTTTAAATTTTTTATTCTTTTCAAAAGAGGATCGATCCGAACCGGTTCCGAACCGTTTCCACCTGAACCACTTCCGAACCGAACCATTTAAACCAATTCGGTTCAGTTTTTCAAAAAATCCGGTTCGGTTCGACCCATCACATCCCTAGAAACAACTATTAAAAATAAGAATACGAAACAGAAAAACTTTAACAGGAAAAAAAAAATAAGTACTTTCCTGACAATACATACACCCATAGACATTATCCAACGATGAAATCGGTTCAAAGCATGATAAAATCAAAACAAAATATCACCAACAAGCTCACCAAATATTCTATAAAGTACACGTGTCACGATTTCACATTACAACAAAGAAGCACTGAATTATCCCGGGAAAAAAAAGAGGTAATGATTCGATGTATGAATGGTACCGTAATCGTTGATGAATTTTTTGTGGCGATCGTATGCATTGAGGCCTCGTATATGTGCCTGATACTGCCTGCGATTGGAAATGGAATTGAAGATGAGTTTAGGTTATGGAACTCAAAAGGAAGAAGAGAATCGGAAAACGCACTGTTTTTTCTCTTCTCTGTCGAATATCGTCGATTTCAGAGACACGAACGACGCCATGCTTGTCGTGCCAAGCTACCAGAAGGAACAAGATTTGGAAGGTAAGGGTTTTGTTTTGGCCTTTTCGTAGAACGCTTAAACGGCATTCCACTTCAAGTTCCACGACACGCCGTTCTAATGAATTATGGCTAAATTATTTGGGGAAGGATATTGTGAAAACCAAGTTGTGTTACTACCAAGTGACTACCAATCAATCTTACCGTTAGATCGATTATCTTTGTATGGTTATGATTCCCCAAATTTAATACTTTATATTTATTTTCACCTTTGTATGGTTATGATTTTCCATATTTAATGTTTTCACTTTAAATATGGGGAATCATGACCGTACAAAGATGAAAATAAATATAACCGTTAGATCAACATAATCGATCTAACGGTGAGATTGATTGGTAGTCACTTGGTAGTAACACAACTTGATTGTCACAATATCCTTCCCCAAATTATTTACCTTAAGTTTTAATGGAATAAGATTAAAAAAAAATTAAATTAAATTTAAGGTTTTTCGTTTTTCCATCAATATGAGAAAAAATTATCTTCATCGATTCCAAAATTATATCATTCCGAGAGTTAGAGAAATTAACGAATGCGTTTTGATAAAATTCATATAACAAGAAATAAAATAAAAAATTTCCTAAAATACCTTTCATTAGACATAATTATGGAGTTAGTAGAGATATTTTTTTATAGAAAAAATGTTAGCCTTTTTAAAGGATGATTATTTTAGTTAAAACTAGTATTTTTATTTAAAATTAAATTAAAAAAATCATTTATTTTCTCTCTGCATAATTTTCGTTATGTATCTCTTTCTCTTACTTTAAAAGACATAATTTTATATCCTTTACAAACACCAAATCCTTTTTTTATTTTATGTTGATGAGAAAATAATATACCCTTAAATTTGTTGTAAGTTTGGTTATTATCATTGTTAATTAGGCTTATTGAGATTATTAATTATTTAATAAAGTGAAATTATCTTTCACTTCTTTTTGTTGGTAAGCAAATTATCTTTCTCTTCTACTCGATTCTTTTTTAGGTGATCAACACTTTCATATAACTTACCAATTACCATGGCTAAGCCTAAATTACTAATAGGGTAAAGCTATCCTCACGTAACAAGAATCAAAATAATTTTTCTCCTAAAACAAAAATAGATGTAGGTCCCATCCTATACACGTAATAAAAACAAAATAAAAAAGGCTAGCGTGAAAACCAATGGATCAATAGATAAAAAAATTTATATCATGTTACACGATATTCGTTTCCCGTTACTAATAACAAAGGCTAAACAAAACCTCTAAGAAGGCTGTAATACCCAAAGAAAAACTCATTCTAAGAGAAAAATAATAAAAGCACAACAAAAACAGCAGAATAAAGAATGATGAAATATGACATATTATTTAAACAAAACAAAAATTACACAACGATAATATTGAAAAACATGAAATTTCATACGCTATACATCGAAAAGATTTTTTAAATAATTCAAATAAAAATTCATTATTGAATTTACATCAAAGAGCTCTTATGCTCTATGCATACACTAGAGCACATGAACACTTGACTTCAATAGAAAATTTGTTCATAAAACTCCTCATTAAAAATTGTTTTTGTGGGTGTCCACTGTCCAGCATAGAAGTGCTAAAGCACAAAGATTAAAGCATGATCTCTTAAAAAAGTTGGAGAATATCATCAATTCTTATTTTTCATTTTTCATGGGATACATGTTCTTATATAAGACTCCAAGAATAAATAGAGAAATTAATTACACATTAGTGCAACATTATGTATGATGGTTACAATTTCATACCAAAAGTCACATGCAAGCAAAATGTCACAACATAAACCTTCAATTCGTTAGTTTTCTTAATTCATTTAATTGTTGTTGTTTTATAATTGTATTGTTATTTATTTATTTTTTGACAGAGATGTGTTGATTATTTTTAAATTAAATTTATAAAAACAAAAAAATCGTTTTAAAATTATATTAATATTTTTATCTCTGAAGCCTCCTACTAAAAAGAAGTAGGTCGCGTGTCCTCGGGAACAAATATAAAGTCGGCGACGATCTTATACCTGAGGTAAAACCCCATGTGCAATCCTCAAATCTGTGGAGAGGAGTCACTCGAATCTGGCCTAAAGTCCTTGAAGGGTCCAGGATTCAGGTTGGCAATGGAGCGCGCACCAGCTTTTGGAAGGATAGATGGCTTCCTCCTAATGTCCAGGTTACGACTTTAGATGGTGTGCATGTGCCGGAGGAAGCCCGTCTTTGGTCGGTTGATAAGTTTGTTAACACGCAAGGGCAGTGGGACTGGGACCTTCTGTCCTTTTTCATTACCCCAGCGACGTGCGCACAAATTGCCAGTGTTATGACTCCCAGCCCGGATAGAAGGGAGGACCTTGTGACCCGGGGTCTGTCCGCGAATGGCCTTTTCTCCGTGAAGTCAGCGTACTACATGCTTACCAGGTCCAGCAGTGATTGTGGAAGCAGTATAACAGAGAAAGCCTGGCAATGGAAGAGCCCTAAGAGGGTACAAACTTTCTTGTGGTTGGCCATTGGTAATAAGCTCATGACTAATGAGAGGAGATCCCTCAGGCATATGGCGGAGGATGATCTCTGCCCTAGGTGTAGAAGGGGTACTGAGAGCATTATTCATACCTTTCGGGACTGCGACTGGAGCAAGGGGATGTGGACAATCTTTGATCCTGAGTTAAGATGGCCAGGTTTCTTCGCAATCCATCCAGAACTGTGGCTCATCCAAAATCTTGGAGCCTTGATACAGTTCATAATTACGCGTGGAGGGAGCTTTTTGGTGTCCTTTGCTGGCTTTTGTGGAGGGACCGCAATAACTTCATTTTTTAGGGTAAATCAACATCCCAGGATTCCATTATTATAAGGGCTAAGGTGTACGTATCTTGCTGGGAGGAAGCTCACAAAGTTCTTCATCCTCAGCGTCTCCAAGTTCAGGCCAGAGAGGAGCAGCTTATTCAGTGGATGGTTCCGAAAGATGGGTGGTGCAAGGTTAACGTTGACGGCTCGTGTCTTCAGGGCGGCAGAAGCTCCAATTGTGGTGGGGTCTTAAGAGATGCGGCTGGGAACTGGATGAAGGGTTTCTGTAGAAACCTTGGTGTTGGTACTTGTACTAGAGCTGAGGTCTGGGGCCTCATGCATGGTCTTGAGATAGCCTAGGATATGGGCATTCATCAGCTATGGATTGAGAGTGATTCTCAAGTGGCCATTCACATGGTTTCTAGTGGGTGTGAGGCTCATCATCCTTTGGACCCCTTGGTTAACAGGGTCAGAGAGTTGCTGGGTAGGACTTGGAGAACCAAAATTTCACATTGTTATAGGGAAGGAAATATGGTTGCGGATAAACTAGTTAGGTTAGGCAACATCTACCCGAATTGGGAATTGCAGGTGTTTATGGACCCTCATGAGGAATGCCTCACTCTTTTGAACAGAGACCTTATGGGTTTTGCACGGCCTAGACTTTGTTCTGGTTTGTAATTTGTTTCCATCATTTTTTTTAAAAAAAAGTAGCTTAGCTATGATGGTATGCTAACTCTAACTCTTTATTTTATTTTTGTGGTAGATATCAACCAATGTTGAAAGCCCTAACAAGTCTACTTAATCCGGTTTTGAGTTTAAGACTCTCCACCATCCACATGAATTACAACTCTCAATAATCGAACCTGTTATCCTTTGAGCAAGTCAACTCTTATTATTTAACTAGGTCGCCACTACACCAAACAACTCTTGGGTCGCTGACTCTTTGTTTTCAATAGAGACTCATTTTGACTATGATAGCAACCAAATGATCTAAATCTAATTGACTTGTGATAGCTTGTTAATCCTATAATATTTAGAGTCATTTTGACCATAACAGTCTGATGACTGATGGATCGAATGCTTACCACTAGTCCAAATCTATAGTTGTTAGTTAGGGAACAACTCTTTCTACTTACCCTTACCAACCCAAGCTACGTGGTTCAATTTGACTTCGACCTTACACAGGGCCTTGCCAATGCAGGATGTTAGTGTTGGGTCCCACACCTTATCTAATTTTGATGATAACAAATAAGTGAAGTCAACTTATCTAACAGTTTGTTTAGTTTTTGAAAAGTTGTTGTATGACGTAATTTGTGATGAATTATGATGAAGAGAATGCAACACAATTGTCATAAAATTGTGAAGATCAAGGATGCAAGTAAAATCTTAGATTTTATATAATGGTTGGATGAGGTGAATCCTAATCATGCCTTGGGTTATAATCTTTAAAATTTTAGAAATTCATGATAGAAGATTTAAAAGTTTTATTTTTAATCCAAATAGATTTTAAGATTTGGTTTTTGATTTGAAAAAGAAAATGTTAATTTGAGATTGATTTCCTCTTTGAAATTTTTTTATCTATTTTTTGGAAAGTTAATTTGAAGATTTTGATTTTATTTTCCTTTTTGAAACATTTTTGGAAAGTTTTCTAAAAAATCATGATAATCTTGATATTTTTATATAGGATTTGATTTTGGGAAAAGGTTTATAAATACATACCTTGAGTCCTTGTTCAAAGTGTGGGTGAGCATTCAAGATAAAAATGTTTTTAAGCATTCAAAAGAAAAAAGTTTTTGAGAATTCAAGAGAAAAAGGTATTTTGAGCGTTCAACAGAAAAAGTGCAGTGAGTATGTTATGAGTATTTCTTCTTAAGGCGTATTCAAAATAATTTGGGAACCAACACATGAGCAGATTCATTGAGTCCACCAATTATGTTTTATTTGTACCTTTTTACTTATTATTTAGAACCAGCAAGGTAACCAATTTTAATTTGAGTAGACTTCATGAAAATCCTAGGGGTAGGGTTCCAGAAAACTTGGGCGAGGTTTTGAGTTAATTTTTTTATAAGGGTATAATAGGGTCTATTATTGTACTTTGAATTGATCAATAGTTGATTTGCCTTCCAATTAGATAGAGGTATCCAAATTGGGGTCGTGGATTTTTTCCTCCCGTTGGAGTTTTTCCATGTTAAAATAAAGGGTTTTATAAGAGTTATGTTGTAGGAAAAGTGATTGTGTTATGTTATAGAGATTCGTTTTGCGTGCCGAAGTTTTTTTTTTTTTTGCTGCGGGTCCCACAAAATGTTGTGTGTGTAGGAAATTTTTTATGGTCATGTTAAATGATAGATGATAAACCCTAAAATAAATGTGTCACTTCTTCCCTTTACTCTTTATTTTATCGCAGTTGTGTGTGTGTGTGTTTTTTTTTAAAATCGCAAAATTTTAGTAAATTCAATTCATCCCCTCTTGAATTCATCAAGGACCAACAAGTGGTCTTTCCAACAATCCCCCCAACACCGGCCTTTTGCAAAGTATCATCCCAAGGAATCGAACCCATGACCACAACTCTGATACCAAGTGTTGGATCGAGCGCTTACCTAAAAGCTATAACTATTAGTCACGACACAACTCTTTCTACTTATCTCTATCAGTCCTAACGTCATAGTTTGATTTGACTCCAACCTCACATTGGACATTGCCAAGACAAGATATTGGTCTCTCCGTCAATAACTTCCACTGTTCCCAAATGAATATATAATCAAATACCTAATGGAGTTGCTATTTGCAACAACCCAAAAATTTTATTTAAAACACAGGAATCACCATTAATTTGTTTAAATTTGAAACCTTCTTTAAGAACAAGGTGAAAATTGACTCCTACTACACCCTGATACATCCATTTGGTGATGATTACCTAAAATTGATTATGCAAATTATTAATAAATTTTAGGATATCTATTTTTTTCCTAAAAAATAATTAAGAACTAAAATAAAACCAAATGTAGGTTAGAAAAAAAGAATTTATGAAGTTAAAAATAATATTTTTTCTTAATGAAAGGGTTTTCATTTTTTGTGAAAATATATTTTGAAAATAAAGCCACAATTATATAGAGTCTAAGATAGATCCTTATGATGATACGACATTCGAGGGCGATAAACACAAAACAACGTTGTATACCATTAACACCCCTACATGTTTGGGTGAAGGAGATTATACATTTGCCTACGTCATCCATGTAATACACAATTAATATCAATTAGTAACTTACAATAAAACTTCCACAATTTATGCAAAACGTCAAATTAGTCTTCATTAAAGATAAGAAACTGATGTACAAAGACAACAAACTTTTTTCGTGCCATTTTCTGTTTTTATTTTTTCAAACATATATGCTTTAGAGGAACATTGGTCCAATCTTTTCTATCAATATATTCATGCAATAATTACATCAAAATACGATGAAAGTGCAACATTTAAACCATCCATTGTTATATATTTGTGAAAGTGGAATTCTATAAGATAAAGAACAGATAGAATTAAATCCGAAACTGGATTAGTTGAATTCGTTAGGACTCTGGACACAAGTTGATATATAAAAAAAAGCACATAAACAACATATATCGCAACTAATAAGATTAAAGAAATTTAGTCCACAACAGCAAATCAAAATCAATTGCCCAGCTTCCTTTATATATTAAATTTTATTTCCATGTTTTTATAAAATATCTTACGTTCAGTTACGAAAAGAATTGACACGACACCATATAAATACACTCAATACAGACATTAAGTAAATTTGAAAACGGATTAAAACTTTCAACATGAACATGACTCATTTATTTTGCAAGTTAACACAACACGACATGAATAACATGCAATCTCAAAATATCTTGCTTATTATATACAATTTGATAAGACATGACAACAATAACCTGTCAATCTCAAAGTATATTTACTATGCAGATTGACATGACATGATAAAAAGATTAATGAACGTCAATTTCTGTTTGGCTGATTGACACACATCACTACATATTTTTTCATATCGACTTTTGCTAATATTAACACAACACGAATTTAAAACAAATTAACCTGAATATAAAATTTTCATATCATGCTTGTTTCTTGTCAGGATCGTGTTGAAAATTACAACCCCTATTTAGGACTATACCAAAGTCAAGAGAATGAGCATATTGTCTTAGCCTTAGCTAAAGTGCATAACCATAACTGTGTTAAAGTATTACTATTAACTATTAATGCCACGATATACCTCTTGATTTAAAGACTGAACAGTATCCATCAAAAGACATAATGACTTTAACATTTTACCAAAACATGGATTATATTTAGGGCTTTATTTCTTTCATATAACAGGAGAAAAAATATCTTATATTATGAGATAAATAAAGTGAGACTCATAAATTTTTTAAAAAATAAGAAAAAGGAAAAGAAAGGTATGTCTTTTTATGTGATTGTAACATGATAGATGAATTGTTGGGTTTGCTCTTTTACTAAAGCCCAAATGGGTTATTAGTATGAGAAGAGCCCAAGGAACCTAGAGCCCAATGAGCTAGGGTTTCTTGGAACCCATATAAATAGTACCTCTTAAGTCATCAGCCAAAAAAAAATCTTTTTTGTGAGAAAGAGGCAAGCTCTGAATCTAATCAGTGCCCACACACTTCCCCTTCCTCCTCGAGAGATAGTTTGGAAGATCTGTCACAGTCCAGCTTCAAGGAGGTTGTTCGTGTTGCGGCGCTGAGGTGAGCTGTTCGTGAAGAGGAATCCTACAAGGGAAGATTCTACACGAAACCTGCGCACCGAGAGGTAATTGTGAAACAAGGATGATTCGGTAAGCATACCAATGTACTAAGGTCCTAAACCGCTTCCGCATAAATCTAAGATGCGCAGTCATCACTGTCGGAGACTTTTCGAGGACTTCCCGATCTCGGAACGGGACGATCTATATATGGTTAGAAAGAGGAAGGAAAGACGAACGCAACGGTGGGTGGATCACCGCCATTGGAGCCTCCACGCTCCTCCACGCGCCCCCACAAGCGGATGAGAGTGGCCGCCACTCTCCGGAAAATAATGGGAGAGTGAGGGAGCGTCCGGCCACCTTTTTGGGTGGTTCCGGCGGCGGTGCACTCGTCTCTACGTGGCGGTACTTCCCCTGGAGTTTCAGCCTGATTTGACTTCGGGTGACGGCGCGGCAGACCTGACGGCTAGGGTTCCTCTTTCGCGTCCTAGGGTTTCTCGCCAAAGGATTGGGTCTTTGGGCTTTTGGGCCCATGAAACCCTAAAGGGGCTTGAGACAGATACTGTGGGCTAGGCGAAAGTTGAATTCCAAAGTTGTAACATTTTTTTTATTTTCTTTAAAATAGGAATGTCATGGATTAAAGTAATTAGATTTTATTGTTTAATGCTTTTATTGATTGGTATAAATTATATGATTGATAACATGCTTTATTGCGATAACATGCCATATAGAATAGGTGGTGCCATATTGTTGCATAACTTGTATGATTGCATGAGCATAATAGCTATTATGTCTTCAGCGACTAGTATGATAGTTATTATGGGATTATTTTGATTTTAAATCATCCTAAGAAATTAATTAATAATTATTATGATTTTTATTAAAAATCTAGATTAATAATTGAATTAATTAATTTTGGAT